ACTGCCTCCTTTGCTGTGGCTCCCTGCTCACCACACAGCCTTCTTCCTGTAACTCACCTTCCTGCACTGGGTGCCTGCAGGGAAAAGGGGCGCCGGCACATAGAGGCAGGGGTTCCAGTCTGCTGGGCGCTTACTCAGGACTCGAATACTTGCCATTGCCTTTGCCTGAAACGCCTCTGATCTTGGCTCTAAGGAGGTGGCCTTACTTTAGCTAAATGGCCCTTCTTCCTCATATTCCCCACACCTAACCCTGGTGTTTATCATTCTCTGTTAGCTATTTACAGATTAAAAAAATTAACAGGGACTTTCCTGGTTGTCCAGTGGTTAAGACTGCACTTCCACAGCATGGGGCATGGGTTCAATCCTTGGTCAGGGAACTAGAATCCCTTGTACCACACAGAGCAGCAGTCCCCCACCAGAAAAAATTAACAGACTCTTGTTTACAGCAGTTTGGGGTTCAAAGCTAAGTGGAACTGAAGGTATGGAACATTCCCACATAGCCCTCGCTTCCTGCCCCTCCCATATGCACCAGTGTGACACATTTATTTCCTCAGTATTGACCAAAGTCCATAACTTACATAAGCAGACACTCTTTTTGCTGTACATTTTATGGGTTTTGACAAATTTGTAATGGCATATAGCCAATGGTATAGGATCATTCAGAGTAGTTTTATTGCCCTAAAAATTCTCTGTGCTCTGCCTGTTTTTCCCTGCTTCCCCCGGACTCCTGGCAACTTTTGACCTTTTTACTACAGCCATAGTTTTGCGTCTTCAGAATGTCATGTAGTTGGAATCATACAATATGTAGCCTTTTCAGATGGGCTTCTTTCACTTAGTAATATGCATTTAACTCTCCTCCGTGTCTTTGCATGACTTAAAGCGTTTCTTTTTATTGCTGAATAATACTCTATTGTCTGGATGTACCACAGTTTATTTATCCACTCCCCTTCAGAAGAACATCTTAGTTGCTTCCAAGTTTGGGCAGTTATGAATAAAGCTGCTGTAAATTTTGGGTGCAGGCTTTTGTGTGGACCTAAGTTTTCCACTCCTTCGGATGTGTCTAAGAGCATGTCTAAGAGCATGTTTAGTTTTGTCAGAAACTGGCAAACTGTCTTCCAGAGTGGCTGTTCCATTTTATAATCCCCATCAGCAATGAATGTGAGTTCCTATTGATCCAGGTCATCACCAGCACCTAGTTTTGTTATTATTTCTGATTTTGTCCATTCTTAATAGTGGTGTAGAGGTATCTCATTGCTGTTTTAACTCACAGTTCCCTAATGACAGCTGATGTTGGGCCTCTTTTCATATGCTTATTTTCCATCTGCATTTTCTGTGGTGAGGTATCTATTTGTTCAGATTTTTCCTCCAGTTTTTAATCGTGTTCATTTTCTTATTACTGAATTTTAAGAGTCCTTTTTTTTAACATTTTAGTTAACATTCCTTTTCAGAAATATCTTTTGTAAATATTTTCTCCCAGTCTGTGGCTTATTTTCTGATTCTCTGGATAGATAAATTTTTTTTCTTCCCAACTAAAATATATGTTCTATTAGATTAGAGACTTTTATTTATAGGTATTCATTAAATATTATAAATAAGGGAAGAAAGAAGAATGAATTAGCATTTTGGTCTGTGTATCAGTGTTTTATTACTCTGGTTGAAGTTAATCTACCCCTAAAAGAGAATCCACCCTCAGCCTGTTGACATCAAGTTTTGGATCCTGATGAGGGAGAGTCTCAGACCTTGGGAAATTCATCAAGGTTTGCTATGGCCTTGGAAACCCTCCTGGGCACCAGCTGGCCTCTTCCCTTGGCATGACCCTCTTTCTTGTTATACAGCTTCTTTCTATCATCAGCAGATTGTATTTCTTATGGATGATGAGGGGTTTTCAAAACTGAGACCCTCTCCCGATTATTTTGCCTTCTACAAAGGAGTGCATAGTTATGTCCAGTTTTGCCAGTCCTGTGTCAAAGAGTTCCTAAGGTCCTGCCCCACAGGGACCACCAGCACTGTTGTGGGGTTGTTTGTATGTAGTTCACTTGCCACTGGCCACTTTACTCTCCCCAGTTTCTTTTCTTTTTTTAAAAAAATTTTATTTATTTATTATGGCTCTGCTGCGTCTTCATTGCTGTGTAAACTTTTCTCTAGTTGCAGCTAGTTGGGGCTACTCTCATGCTGCACAGGCTTCTCATTGCAGTGGCTTCTCTTGTCGCAGTGCACAGGCTCTAAGGCGAGCAGGCTTCAGTAGTTGCAGCATATGTGTTCACTAGTTAGTAGTTCAATAGTTATGGTTCATGGGCTCAGTTGCTCCAAGGCATGTGGGATCTTCCCGGATCAGGGATCAAACCCATGTCTCCTGCATTGGCAGGCGAATTCTTTACCACTGAGCCACCAGGGAAGCCCTCTCTCCAGTTTCTGCCCTTTCACTCCAGCAGCCACTGGACCCTGCTGGGCTGTGGGAGTGGACCTGGACCTAGAATTTGTGTTGCTATATCACCTTCCCAGAAATAAGTGTTCAAGATATTATGTGCTAATCTCCTCGCAACCCTTGCTGTCTTTGGAGCTGGGAAAAGGTAGATGGAAACAGATGGATATGGTGATAACATTGATAATAGCTAATTTTTTGAGCACTTAACATGTGCTAAGTCCCATGCTGAGTATATAATAAATATTATCTAATGTAATCATCAGAAACTCGATCACACAGGCATGTGTGTGCTTAGTCACTCAGTCGTGTCTGACTCTCTGTGACCCCATGGACTGTAGCCCATCAGGCTCCTCTGTCCATGGGGATTCTCCAGGCATGGAGAAAACCCAGGGGATTCAAACTCAGGTCTCCTGCATTGCAGGCAGATTCTTCCATCTGAGTGACCAAGGAAGCTCACTTATTGCTATTATCATCCCCATGTTTCAGGTGACCAAACTGAGCCACAGAGAGGGTAAGTACCTTTGCCAAGGTCATTCAACAAGCAAATGGCCAAGCCAGGATTTAAGCTCAGACCCCGTGCCATGCTTTTGAATACTACACCATAGCCCTCTTGCCTGCTGGAAAAAGTATCTTCCTCACAACTCTGCAGAGAACACAAAATTGGCCTTTTGCACCTGTGATTCTGGCTGCCCTGCCTGAACCCTGGAGACTTCCCCAGGGGCACCCGCAGTCCTGGCATCCTCTTCTCTCCAGACTCTGCTGCTCCCCATGGAGCCTCCGTCCTCCCCCAGAAACTTGCAGCTTCGAGGCAAAGGTGCCCTAATCTCCCCCTCCAGTCTTCCTGGAGCTCTTATTAGCAGTACCTTCTCATAAGCCATTCAAGGAGACCTTGCGGGTTCCAAACTACAGCATTTAAAATAGTTCACTGCCTCATAAACAGCACTCCACAAAGACGCTGCAGGCCTGTGTTGGTTGAGACACTCAGTTCCTGTGTTTTCAGGTTTGGCTTTACCTTTCTCAGCTGTGGTTACTTTCTTATTCCGGGCAGGCTGACTTTTGTCAGGGCAAGGTTGATGTGGGGGCTGGCAGAGTGCCCCTCCTGTATTCCCGTGTGATGAGGCACCAGAGGGATGTTCTTCTTCTCTCCTTCATTCTGAGTGAGCAGGGTTTATCCAAGGGGATAAAAGACTGGAGAGGGGGCAGGAGAAAGGACTAGGAGACCTACAGAATACAAAAGTCACATCCTGAGGGTCCTCCACTAGAATGTTTCCCGGGAGATCAGGAGTGGCTAACCATGTACATTAACCTCGCATCCTCTGGTGTCCCCACCACAAATGAGAAAGTGGAGCCTAGGGAGTGACTGTCTCCAGTTATTATACAGCTAACAAGTGGATCCACTGAAGATGGTTCAAACAAAGAGATCTCAATTCACAAGGTGAGGGCGAGGTTAAGACTGATAAGGCACCTAGACAGGAGCAACCACAAGATGTTCTGAACACCTACAAGCCTAAAAGATCAAGGAGTGGAAAGAGTGGGACCAGAGATGGGTGAGAACTGGACCCATGGAGGTCGACCTAGAATCACAGAGGGACCCAGCCACTGCCAGGACCAGGATTCAAAGCAAGGAAGGAACAGGGAAGAAATACCCCGACTCTCATTTCTCCTGATCTCCCGTCTATCCGGAGGCTCCCATTGGCCAAACCCATCCAGACCCCAGATGATGCAGCCTAAAGGGGTCAGTCATCCAGGCACACAGCAGGATGGAGGAGGAGGGAACAAGTGTGTGCATGTGTGCAAATGGAGTGCAACCAGCATAGCAGTGCAGCTGGATTTTGAGTCATGAGCTCTTAAGAGCCCTTGTCCTTTGCGGTGGTTCTTCGCTGTGGCTGAGATGCCCCTCCACCATGCAGCACTGGATGGATGCACTGGCCTGACTCACCTCTTTATTAATTAGAATTATTCTTCTCCCACTTTTCCCTTCCTCCTTCCCCTTGTAGGAAGGAACCTGTCCCAGAGAATGAAATTGCCTGGGTCCAGGCTTTTGGCCAGCTGGATCCCACCACAGCCCTGACTGCTGATTTCATGGGTTTTTTGTTTACTTGTTTTTTTGGATTTATGCTTATATGGCTTGGTGATGGATCCTGGAGAATTGCCTCCAATTTCTAATCGGCCATCTTCCCTTCTTACCTTCCACATGCACCAGCTCAGTATTTCCTCCAAAGTCTTGCATTTCTCTAGATTTTACTGCCTTTACTATGAGTGGTCAGCCGATAGCATTACCACTGCCCTGTTGCTGTTCTTCTGGGCAGGGACTAAAGCCTGGTGAGTGCTCTGATCACCCAGACCAGAGAGAAGCTGAAGAAGTGCTGACTGTCTTGGGTGGTACCCCAAGATCTGGTGCAACATATGAGGGGTGTAAAACACAAGGGGTGGTTGACTGGAAAGCATTGGAACATTGAAAGGTAATCCCTCTGATATGTAAGAAAGCCACTGTCAGGGCAAGAGGGACGGAGAAAAGTTTGTCTTCTACAGTGTCTAATGTGATATCAACAAGGTGTCTGTCTTTTTTTTGCAGCTTCTAAACCTGCTAAACCTGGCTGGTCAGATGTTTGTCCTAAAACACCATTCCTTGAGGCAGTGGGACTTCTGGATATCCCTGTCAGACCTGAATTCTTGACTTCTCACAGACTCCCCTCCACACACCCGCCTGGATGCTGATCTCCAGTGTCTGTCTGTCTTGCATTTCAATCATCAGCTTTACAAAGGATGATTATAACAGTGATGATCCCAACATTTCCCACACTTGAGCTGCTGTTCCAAGTACTTTCTAAATTTCACAGCACTGTTATTATCCCCATTCCCAGGTGAGGATAGCAGGCTTTAGCGAGATCACATGATTTGGCCAAGATCATAGCTCAGTTGGTAAAGAATCTACCTGCAATGCAAGAGACCCTGGTTTGATTTCTGGTCAGAAAGATATGCTGGAGAAAGAATAGGCTACCCACTCCAGTATTCTTGGGCTTCCCTTGTAGCTCAGCTGGTAAAGAGTCCACCTGCAACGTGGGAGAGCTGGGTTCGATCCCTGGGTTGGGAAGATCCCCTGGAGAAGGGAAAGGCTACCCACTCCAGTATTCTGGCTAGAGAATTCCATGGACTGTACAGTCCATGGGGCCACAAAGAGTTGGACACGACTGAGCGACTTTCACTTCACTTCACTTCATACACTAGTAAGTCTTATGTAGATCCTGAATCCAAGCCTAGAGAAGCCTCCAGGGCCCACATCTAGTTATGACCCTGTATTGCCTATTGATGACAGAGGGTGGGTTTTTCTTTCTTCCATCTGCTTTGTAAAGGCTTTATTAAATTATAATTGATATACAATTAAGTATACATATTTAACAATAAAAACTGATGAGTCCTGACATATGTATACAGCCATGAAACCATTGCTATAATCAAGATAATGAATATGTCTATCACTTCCCGAAGCATCCTATGCTCCTTTATAATCCACCCCTCACTACCCCCAACCTTGTTCCTAGGCAACCAATTGTCTGCTTTCCATCTGTATAGATTAATTTGCATTTTCTAGAATTTTATATATGGAAACAGACAGCATGTTGTTTTTTTCTTTTTTTTTGGTCTGACTTCTTTCAGCATAATTATCTTGAGGTTCATCCATGTTATTGCACATGTCAAATTCTTCTTATTGCTGAATAGTGTTCCCCTCTACACTACACTATATTTGTTCATCCATTTGCCTCTTGATGGACACTTGAAGCTTCCAATTTTTGAGGATTAGAAATAAAACTACTAAGAAAACTCAGGTACAAGTCTTTTGTGGACATATGCTTGTATTTCCCCAGGGTAAGTACCTAGAGGTTGAATGGCTAGATATAGTAGATATATATTTAATATTATAAGATATGGCCAAACTATTTTCCAAAGCACTTGTGCTGCTTTATATCCCTCCCAGCGGTGCATAAGGAATTCTAGTTGCTCCACTTTCTTGCCAACATTTGGTATAGCTTGTTTTTTTAATTTTAGCCATTCTAGTAGGTATATAGTTTCTCACTGTGGTTTTAATTTACATTTTCCTGATGACTAGTTATATTAGGCATCTTTTCAGGTTTTATTTGCCATCTGTTTATCTATTTTAGTGATATGTCCTTTCAGATGTTTTGCTTATTTTAAAAATGATTGGATTGTTTGTCATCTTATTGAGTTGCAAATGTTCTTTATATATTCTAGAACATGCCCTTTGTCAGATAAGGTTTTGCTACTTTTCATATGCAACATTTTCATTTTATAACAGTCTCTTTTAAAGACTGAAAGTTTTATTTTTTATTTTTCATGGAAGTATAGTTAATCAACCATTCACTCCAGTATTCTTGCCTGGAGAATTCCATGGACAGAGAAGCCTGGTGGGCTACGAGTTTGTGGGGTCACAGAGGGCAGACACGACTGAGTGACTAACACATACATAGTTGATTAACAATGTTGTTAATTTCTAGTGTACAGCAAAGTGATTCAGTTATACACATATCCATTCTTTTTCATATTCTTTTCCATTATAGTTTATTCTGAGATATTGAATATAGTTCCCTGTGTTATACAGTAGGACCTTGTTGTCCATCTATTTTATATCTAGTAGATTGTATCTGCTAATCTCAAACTCCTAATTTATCCCTCTCCCACCCCATTTCCCCTTGCCTAATCGTAAACTTGTTTTCTATGTCTGTGAGTCTGTTTCTGCATTGTAAATAAGTTCATTTGTATCATGTTTTATATCCCACATGTAAGTGATATTATATGACATTTGCCTTTCTCTGTCTGGCTTACTTCACAGAGTGTGATAATCTCTAGGTCCATCCATGTGCTGCAAATAGCATTATTTAATTAATTTTTGTGACTAATATTCCATTGTATATATATGCCATATCTTCCTTATCCATTCATCTGTGGATGTACATTTAGGTTGCTTCTATGTCTTGGCTATTGTTAATCGTACTGCAATGAACATTGGGGTGCATATATTTTTTGAGTTATGATTTTCTCTGGATGTATGTCCAGGAGTGGGATTGTTGAATCATACAGTAGTTCTATTTTTAGTTTTTTAAGGAACCTCCATAGTGACTGTATCAGTTTACATTCCCATCAGCATGTAGGAGGGTTCCCTTTCAAAGAACAAAAGTTTTGAATTTTTTTTCACACTTTGTGGGGTTTTTCCCTCTGGCAATTATCTGAAGAGGAGCTATCTCTTTTGTTATTATGATTATTGTGGTAAAATATATACATAACACTAAAGTTCCTATTTTAACTAATTTTAAGTATACAGTTCAGTGGCATTAAGTACATAACACTGTTATAGTTTGAATTTTTTTCAATCCTTTTAAAGAATTTTTGGCAAACTCAAGGTCACTAAGATTTCCTCCTGTGTTTTCTCTGAAAGATTTCACAGCTTTAGTCCTTACAGATCTGAAGTTAAATTGTATGTATGAAATGGTCAAGGTTCATTTTTGCATAGGGTTAAACACTTGTTCCTACACCATTTATTGAAAAAACAATCCTTTTTTCATTGAATTACATTGACACTTTTGTCAAAAATCAATCGTTTGTTTTTGACTATTTTCCTGGTTTGTTTTTCACTCTAATTCTGGACAAGGTGCCATCTGATTTTCACATACTATCTTCCTGTATAGACTCCCTCACTTGTCACTCTGCACTGATCTGGCTCTGACCTTCCCTCCATACTGTTTGATAGATGTCTAGTGGTATTTTCCAGATATGACCTAATTCTTGCCTACCCCCTAAACTGCAGTCAGCCTTGCTGCAGCCTCTGTTGTCTGGGCTTAGTGCCCAGCACCTGGGTCCTGCTGTTGCCCACAGTCCTGGCACCATCAGAGTCCTGGAGGGTGAGGGCTGCAGATGGGCCCAGCTCAGGACCCAGAGAGCGGTAGCACAGCAGGCTTTCCCAGCCAGTTATTCAGGAAACCCTGGTATGGGAGCTTAGAGATCCAACCCTCATAGCAATAGCACAACTACCAGGTCTTCTCAAGACTTCCCTGGTCATTGCATGCATGCTTGCTAAGTCACTTCAGTTGTGTCCAATTCTTTGCAACCCTATGGACTGTAGACTAACAGACTCCTCTGTCTATGGGATTCTCCAGGCAAGAGTACCAAAGTGGGTTGCAATGCCCTCCTCCAGGGCATCTTCCAGACCCAGGCATTGAACCTGCATCTCTTACATCTCCTGCAATGGTAGGCAGGTTCTTTACCACTAGTGCCACCTGGGAAGCCCCCACTGGTCATTGAGGGCCCATTAAAACAAAAAATAAGATATTGCAGAAAAAAATATTGATGGATAAAACTGAACAAGGGGAATGCAGAGCCTTTCTCCCACAGGGAAAGAAAACCTTATTAAACCTACCTATTCAAAGATAGCACTATGGAGCCCTTCTAACCTTATAAGGACCACAATGGTGATTTTTGTCTAATCAGCCATCATGCCTGATGAACAAAACTGGGGAAAACCTTGGGGATGACTTCCCTACATTGTTTAGGCTTCTTTACTAACCTGGAAGACAGGGAGAGTGGCTTAAGTTTGTGGAGAGACATCACTCTGTATCCCTCAGGTGGACCCAGGGGATGTTGATCTCAGCAGTGACTGTGCAGCTTGCCTCCCAGACTGTTCATGGAAGAGTCTGCAAGAGGGACTTCTGGAAGGGTTTTGTTTTGAATTCAGTTAAAAGGAGACACTGCACAGAACATCCAAGTCAAAGATAAGGCTTTATCATGTGGCAAAAACATTTTCCACAAGGAATAGAGAATCCCTGTTGTCAGCATATGTTCAGGGGAGCATTTGAGGGAGGCTGTATCTTAGCACAAATATCCCTCCATTCTTAACAGGCTGGAAAGGCAGACACCATGAATGAACATGTCTTGCATGGGCGCTGGGCTGAGTCGTTTCTCCAGCCACTAGCCACACTTAGACTCTTGCCTTTGTGAGCCAACAGCTCTAGTCTGGGAGGTGGTCAGATGCGAAGCAAGAGTTTTATTTTAGTGTTGTCCTACTTTGTTCATTCAGGGATGACCCCACTGACACCAAGTCCCAACCCAGGGGTGGGGACCACCTCTGGCAGGAAATCACATGGTCCACTTCCCTGGAGATGCACACAGCCTGCTTTGCTTGTGGACAGAGAGTAGCTGGATGTGATTGAGGTCATAGAATGAAGGAAGGAAGCAGGCATGAATTAACATCATACTCATTTGCCACCTGGCCGTGGGTCTTGTCCTGGAAAAATTAGACCAGTGGTCTTTTCCAGCTTGATTGTGAGCAGAGATAGATCAAAGAGGCTTATGCTGGAGGTTGACTCTGACATTCTGAGATGTTAGGGACTTTCATCTCTTCTCAGGCTGTCACTTCCCCAACAATAAGTGCTGTGAGTACCAGCAGGGAGAGGCAACCTTCACTGCTCTGGGAAGTGGTAAGGGTGAGAAAACTGATAGAGTTTTTCATGGTAAGTAAAGTCTAATTAAAAATGAAGAATTTTATAAGCAATATGATCATCAGGGGGTTAACATCCAAAATATAAACAGCTCATACAACTCAACATCAAAAAAAAAAAAAACAAACAATCCAATTTAAAAAATGGGTAGAAGACCTGAACAGACATCTCCCCAAAGAAAATATACAGATGGCCAGCAGACACATGAAA